GATCCGTTCAGCCGTTTAGGCTACAAACGCTAACAAACATCCATCCATCTAAACTTTCGCATTTATAATATTAGTAAGATTAGAATCTATTATTCGACATCCATTCGGTCTCTTATTCAAGCAGTTCTCTTGTTATTGAACTAAAAATATGAATGTCTATGACATTTAGAGAAGTTAATTCCGTTCGAGCTACGACTGAAATAGTGAAGGTAAAAATACCCGACAGATAGAAGACAATGGAAAAATTTCACGTAATTATTTGTTTGTATGTATGTATATTCCATTGTGACAGTCTAGAATCTAAACTGCTAATGGGATTTTGATTAGTAATTCAGCAGTTTAGGATACAAAATCTAACAAACATCCATCCATCTAAACGTTAGCATCTATACATGTAATAAAATTGGAGTGTCTGTTTGTAATAACTAAAGAAAATTCCAGATTTAGCGAAGATGATGTAATTATTTGCTGCTGCTGATAACAAAAATTGAATTTTTTGTCTGTATGTATGTCTGCAAGCCACGTGTGCACCGGGTAATCTCCGAAACGGCTGTACCCATTTCGACCGGACTTTCACTAAAGGGTAACTGACATAGACGGGCATATTTTTATCTTAATATTGCGTTGACGTCGTGTCCAACAGCTAGTTTATAGCATTAGAAAGAACATTAACGCAAATATATTTTATGAATTAAAATGCAGTTTCTCTAGTATTATAAAAGTCTATTACAAAAGTCAAGGGGCTTTGAATTTCTTTGCAATAGACTCGTTGGATCGCTCGTCTTTTGTTTGTGAAGAACTTTTGTAAAATGATACAACTTTTTTACGAAAAATTTCCTTTATTTTGCAAAAAGCATTTGATTACACGCACATTTTGATCAGGTAATGACCTAAAAATTATAATCTCGATATAAAACAATGTACCTATGTTAAATTATCATATTAATGAATCACATAAATAGATAGTGAAAACAATATTTACAGCATTTAAAATTCAACATGAATAAAATAATTAAAAATAATTTAATAAATAATACAATAATAAGGAGAAAAACATAACAAAGTAGTTATACCCTAAATCACAGACTATAAAACATGTAACAGATCAGTCTTGAAGACATAACAAAGAAAATAAAATCATCCAAATATCACTGACAGTCATAAATCTAAAGAAAATGGTGGACAAACTCATTATAGGAAATACACATCAGATTCATTTTAGCGAGATTTTACAAGAATAAGACCCTGTCCCACCACTGATTGATAGAGCTTCAGATAGCATAAATAACGTCACTATCAGATAAGGGAACAAAATCCGATATTTTCATGACATTTTACACGTTGGATTGTTATGATAATTTATAATTTGGTGTGACAGGCCCTTAATTTTTTTTCTATCACTAAATTTATTTCTATACCAATACATTTAGATTCATCTAATATTACGTATTGCTGTATTTATGCGGTACGAAAATAACCAAAGGTAACTACTGATTTATCATTAGAAATACTTGCAAATGAGAAAATACATTTATTCAGCCAGAATATGTGAAAGGGGTCAACATAAAATGGACGGATTAAAATAAACAATATCAGATTTTAATAAAACATTATTAATAAAAGAAAATAATAATGAAAATGATTCTATTACTTTATTAGTAATAGTGATTTCACAACCATATATTATTACTTTTTTTACATTTTGCAGTTACCATTATGCAAAGAGTTCGCTCACAAAAGCCACATCAAACTATCGGATACACTGCGTATTATGAGAATTAACTAGAATTTTTAAATTACATCCCCTTTTCACTAGACGATTAGCCGCGCGACATACCGCTACATATAACACACATTACTTAAAGAAATACATTTTGAAGAATATCAAATCAAAATTGAGCGCTATACCAATGAAACAAGATATAATATTACTTGTCTCTTGAATAAGAACGAGCGTTAAAACACGTGAAACGCGATAAAACGTTGTGTTTTGTTTTTTTTTCATAGATTTAGATTAAGTTTTCTAGTTGTGACTGAATGTAACATTTATTACATGTTTTTTTTTCTTCTTCTATTTTGTAAAACTGCGTGTTCTGTTTTAGGAATCATTGAAAACCGGCGCTTCGGTGTACACCGAGCACATGACGAATGAATTCCTTTTCATTTTTTTTAATAAACTGAAAAGTGAAATTAAATCTTATTTCAATCGCATAAAGCTTAATTTGATTTGCGACACAATTCTATTCTACGTTAGCATCTGAGTCCTAAGTCATGTTTAGAGTCGCGCGATTAATCGCTAGTGAAAATAGGGTTTAATACTACGTCATCTATATTATAATCTAAGAATTATTGAGCTCTAATATCTTACACGAAGGAAGACACATTGAATTTACATTGAATGATTGAATAGTTTTTTAGTCTCTACAAAGGTCAAGAGATATTTTAACCCTAAGCGGTTGTCATAGAAACGGAAATAGTTAATCTAATATCGATTTTTAAAACTAACATCAAATTATCAATGTATTGAGATTGAAATTTTACAGAATTTTCAAGAATTTTGAAGCCTTATAAAGTTCAAAAAGAAATTTTAAAAAGCGATTAGTCTTCCGTTAATTCAACTGAGGGCTTATTACAAATATTAATGAGAAAATTTTCGTAACGTCATCGAGATTGTAGCATTTAAGTGCAATGCGTATTACCAAATGTCATACAAATTTAATGTAATACGTTACGAAAACGGGTCGAAATCTTTCTTGATAGACAACTAATAGTTTAAAATAACTACAAATTGTGAAAGACAGAACAGAGTTTATTGCAAATATAGTAATGTAAGGATCGAAAGAGTAATTTTCAATACAACTATAGTTCACAACACTGATACACCAAATCTAACGGGTCTGTTACATTCAAAGCACATCAATATATAATAATTTAAACGATTTTTCTATTGAAGCGTTATTTGTCCCCATATCATTATTTCCCTATTCATAGATATACAATCTATAGATTTCGTACAAGTTTAATTCGAGATTCGATTTTCAAGATAGACCTTTTTCAGATTATCTATAGATTACATATCTATGTTCCTATTTATATGAACGAAATATACTTATACGACTGAATGTTAACCATTACAAAAAAAACTATTATCTTTTTAAATTAATCTTTCGTAAGTAATATTAAGTATAACTTAAGTTATTTACGAACGTTCTAACTGTACTTTAAATACAGTTACCAACTAGTCAATATTATTAAATTTTTATGGCACATACACTTTTATTTTATATAAGTAATATTTTTGACGAAAACAGAATTTAGTGTAACATACATCTATACTTATTGTATAGAGTTCACTTTTATTGTTATGTATAAGAGCGTACGCACACCTGAAACTAATCTATCGCACAACTGTTTAGTCTTGCATTGATTCCTGTGAGCTTATATGGAGGTACGCACACTCGATTTTTAGTTGTGCAACTAAACAGTTGATTGGCAGCGAAACAATCGACTATCGCACAACTGACGTGTTACTGAAAATATAAGTCTCTGTTGCTAATAAGACAAAGGAAAGTCGGGATAAATAGTTAGTTTACATTCAGTCGTAAAAGTGTCACTTAAAAGTAATTTAATTCTAATTAATTTTATCAATAAATATGATATTTCGATACTGTTTACAATAATACTAAGAATACTTGATTTTAATTATTATATTGTGCAAAATCTTTGAGATTTCTTTAAAATATAACATAACTTCTAAAACGAAAAAATATCACAATGATGTAACATAGTTTTTTGTACTAAAATAAATAAAAAGCTACATTTACTAACAACCATAATAATATTACCTAAAATTATTTCCAAAATATTTAAATATTGCTCATTTTATTTTGGTTGAAGATTTTAATCTTTGATTATTTTACACATCCTAAGAGTCTAAATACTTGACATAACTAATTTTATTATGTACAGTACATATAAATACTGAAAAAATAATAAATATGTACTATAACTTAATTTTCATAGTTCAAATAAGATATATAATTTGGAAAATCGCAATAAAATGTTTTCATTGTGATTTTGATTGCGATTGCTTAAGAAAGGACTGGATTCAGATATGACGGCTGATAGAGATGTATGGAGCAGCACATACTGTGCCGACCCTCCGTAAAGAATAATGGCAAGTGGATGATGATGACAATAAAATGTTTTTATTATGGAAAAACTCCAAACATTTTTTATTCAAGAAAAAAAAACACAATAAGTTCTTTAAAGGGAATATTAACTATAGTAATTTAATCTTGAGGATGTATTATTTAAAATATCTAATATGTCAGTACAAATACATATATTTTTACAATCGATTTATTAGTTTTAAAGATATCAGGTTAGGCCTATAATGACCCACATTCATCTATGTATATCATATTATGTACAAGAATTAATTCTTAATAATGAAGTGAAATAGATTTAAAATTCATCTAATGAATTAAAAATCTAAACTACGAGAATGAATACTTTACTAATACTGATTGATATATTACATTTAATATAAGAAATGGCGAATTCTATATACAAAGAAATTATTATCTACTGTCTTCTAAATTTTACAATATTTGGTATCGCGACGAGGTCTATTCGATAACAATAAACATTTAAAACTAATCAAATAAAATCTACAATAAGTAATCTTTTCGTAATTGGAATTTTGTTTCAATCTATAGAATTTTCACTAAACAAAAGAAATCACTAGTTCGTAGAAATTCAGTCACATCTTTGGAAACTTTCGTTGAGAAACAACTAGGCCTGTCAAACTGTCGACACCAAGTCGCGATTAGGTGACACTCAAAGTGACGCCAGATCTGACGTACGCCTTGAAGGGATAGGAACTCTCAGCTGCGCGGAACCTCGCCTCTCCAATCTCTCCATCGCGTCCAAATCCGATGCACTACGCTTACAAAAACTACAAAACGCACAAGCCAATGTATTCTTGAATGCGTTACGAAAGTCTCTATTGAAGTACGCGTAGATGATCGGATTTAACGCTGAATTGAAATAACCCGTCCAAAACATGATCACAGTCACCACTTCGGGATATTCACAAGTGTCACACAATGATGTCGACACGTAGAAAAGAAAGAATGGCAACCAACAGAGAATGAAGGCACCCATAATAATACCTAAAGTTCTAGCAGCTTTGTGTTCTCTTTTCATTTTTAATATATTTCTATCTTTGGTGGGTGTGTTGGCATTAATATGAAGAGCACCATTCTTGTCTCCAACTTCTCGGGAATGTCGATGCATGAGCATTGCGTTGCCAGCTCTTGCATGTAATGCTTTCTCTTGTCTATTAGCCTCCTTAAATATCGCAAGATATGTGAATATCATAATTGTGCAAGGGATCCAGAAAGATATTGAACTGGATATTACTGCATACGGTTTGTTTACTATGAATTCACATTGGTTCAATTCTCGTGTCAGTATGTGTTCTTTCGTTGTGTACCAGCCCATAAAAATAGGCGCGTAGGATATCGTTATTGGGCTTAACCAAGTTGCTGCTAGCATGACAAACGCCATCTGAAATGTAAATAATCGCATTAGGAACACTTCGACTTTTCGTCGACAAAGATTTTATCTGAAACAAATGACAATCGTTGTTCATTTTAAATTCTCTATGAACTAAAATATGTTGAAATAACAAACCTTTTTTGTCATCTTTATTGGATATTTTAATGGTTTCACAATAGCGTAATATCTGTCAACTGATATGCAACAGAGATGCAGTATGGAGGTCGAGGTGAAGTAGACATCGGAGGAGTTCCAAAGATCGCAGATGACTGGTCCAAATATCCATTCGTTGTAGAATTGCACGCTGAAGTTGAATGGCATCACGACCATGGCGACGAGGATGTCGGCGAACGCGAGGGACACAACGAAGTAGTTGGTGATCACTCGGAGTTTCCTGCAAATTACCAGCAGTTTAATTGTGATTCTAGTCGGATGATACGATGCAATTGTATGTAATTTATTTTAATCGGATTATACATCTCGAAGCTAACGTCCGTCTTTTATTTCATGTACCACATTAAAATATCATTCTGACGTCTTAGCTTACTTCTTGGAGAAAGACGTACTTTAAAAAATAAGCATGTGAGTAAAAATATAATATCTATATTGTTCAAAAATTACTACTTGATAATTAGCCATCGTCACAATTTACAGTGTGAGATTTAAGGGCTTCTATTTACAGTCAATTGTTTTATATTAGCTTACCTTGCTCGCTAAAATTCCTTGGGAAAGCAATGGATTTTAAAAATATGCTGATAGGTGGCTTTCCTAAAAGACAAACCTCTGCCTCATGACGCTGACGATGACGAGCAAGTTGCCGAGCACGGCCGCGATGACGATAAGCAGCAGCACCGCCGTCCGCAACTTGAACATGACCACCTGCGGCCACTCATCCCCGCCCGCATCGCCCCCGCCCCCGCCGGCCGTCGCGTTGACTGACTCGTTGCGGGACACGTTTACTTGATCCATAAGGGGCGGTCTATACAAAAATATTAACTAAAGATACAAGATTACTTTCCAAAAAATCTTTGTATTTTTTATCTACCGTTAGATTTTGCTTTAGTAACTTTAAGGTGATTTTACTAGGGTTTTCTTTTTAGATTAAAAATAAATTGATCTAATCTTGACGCTTATTTGTACTTCATGTGAATTTAAAACTTAATAAATCAGGCAGCAAGTATGGAAATTATATTACACTTATTTATGCAAAGTAATTTTACTTCAAAACTCACACTGTTATTTTGTACCCCTAATATTCATCTTTCAACAAAAATTTCTTCAAATTCACGTTAAAACGTTTTCATGCTACTTCAAACATTATTAGGTGTCCATCAATCTTTATTGCATACCTCGAAAGCCTCTGTTCGCTATAAATGTCAATGCCGGCAAAGCCTAAATGTCAGTCTACGACAGTTTGAGTTATAGACTGCACAGCAAATGCCTCAAGGCTAGCAAACAATTAACACGAGGAAATTCTAGAGGAAATTTCTATCAAAATTAACATTTGTTGATGATTCATTATTTATTCTTGGAGTTCAGCAGATTCAGATGACTAAAGGCTACCAATCACAGTAAGAGGGCACATCTTTGACTAAATTATCGCACACTGTTATACGATTGTCAATTGTTTCGCGGCCAATTCAACTTTTTAATTGCATAACTATTCGAGTAGTGCGCACACTTCTCCTCTCATCTCACCTCCATATAAGCTCATAGGAATCAAAGCAAGAATAAACAGAGATAGTTTAGTCAAAGGTGTGCGCGCGTTCTAAATGGATAAAGCTATTTTAACCAATATACATTCACCTTATATTATACTAGCTGTTCCAGTGCGGCTTCATCCGCATGAAATGTCAAAATTCAAATACACAAATAACAATTGCTTCCTTGATGTTAAGAGCAATTTATGGTCTCTTTCCCACAATAGGATTTTTATCCAAAATATTTACCCTCTAAGTTTAATGGCGTGAAAATATATAGCCTAAAGCGTGACGTAATTGTAGGGCTTTTTATTAAGAACAGAATTATTCAAAAATATGCTGTAATTGCTGATATCTTAGGCAACAAAGAAGTGTGTGTTTACGCTTTATTATAATAGTATAGATTACCTTTACGTTACTCGATTCACTTCGGTCTTATTTTCTCCATTTTCACACACTTCTGCACGTCTGATTATAAAAAATCCAAATTTCATTTTAATTATTGCTTAATAATTAACTCTTGTGTCGCTTGCAGATAATTTACTTCCATCTTTTTCTTCTTCACAGTTCCAGTTACTTGTTTGTTTGATATGATTTCATTGTACATCTTCAGTGGATTTCATTGTATTGGAATTTTCATCGCAGCTTATTGCTTTAGTACCTGTAATACAATATTTTTTGTTAATAACTGTTCAGTGACTGTATATTAGAGGAAGTTTGAGAGTAGCCCCAGTGGTTGATAAAATATGGATTAAAAGGTTAGAGTGGTATGGGCATGTTATGAGAAGGGATGAGTCGCATGTAACAAGACGGACGTTAGTTATGAATGTCTACACCGGTAGAGGTAGACCTAGAAAGAGATGTATGGATTGCGTGAAACGTGACATGATCAAGAAAGGAGTGATGACTGAGATGATGGATGATAGAATGCTTTGGAGGACGAAAACCCGGTGCGCCGACCCTACGGGAGTAGGATAAGGCAGGGGAGATGATGAATAACTGTTCGTTGACACAAACGGATACTTGTTTCTGTACACAGTGATTGCACTTTTAATTATGAGATTTCCTCTTTCTTTACATCATCGTCATCTTTCTCCTGATCCTACTCTCGTAGGGTCGGCACAACAGGTTTCTGTCCTCCAAATAACTCTATCATACGTCATCTCAGTCTTTTTCTTACTCTTTCTTTACTTTTCTATTGTAAAGTTTAACAAAAAATATTACATGCATATCTTCATAAAAGTCATTACTCAGTAATAACTTATGACCGGATTCCCAGCTACATTAAACGATGTGTTAGTGTTTTTGAACCCATAAATTCATGAAATGTGTTTCCAATCTACAAAACGTGAGTTTTATTACTCCGTTGCAAAAAAAACACAAATGAATCGCTAGGTAATGATATAATAAATGGAAACTTCAGAAAAGCAGCAATAGTAGTTCAGAATATAAATAAAATCGTTGATTTACTATTGTCAGCTTATTAACTATTTTTGATGTATTCTGTATTCTTAAAAGTTATTTGTTAATCTGTGCTATTTATCAATACATTTATCTTTATTTAAAACAACAATATTGTTAGGAAAATATTAGGAAACGGAAGGAATAAATTTATAAAATATATGGCAAGGAGTGGCTCGGGCGCTCAGTTGCAGTCTCGGCGCTCAGTCGCCAACAAGCTCAGTGTATTACTAGTCGTCACAACGGAACGTTCGATATATTTGCGTTGTCGCATTGGAGTTCAGTTTGTGTGTTTTAAAGCAATTTACAAGTATTGTTAATATGGACGTCCGTCTATATTTTAAATGAAGTCACTTGTGTCGACATTTCTAACACTATTAAATTCAAATATCTAAATACCAATAAAATCACCAATTCTGAAACCATTGTCAAAACACACGTCAGGTATGACACCTCGTAATATTATGAACGGGCCACATTAAACGTAGATATGAAATTGGCTGGCTTTTGTTAAACGGCACGTTCGTGCTCCGCTATCCGAAATGCAATTTGTGTCAGACATTAAATGCAAGCGTTCTGCTACAATAATTTAAACGTAATTGACGTAATTACGTGAGCAAATAGTCTGTACAGCGATGCTATTTCTTCAATTTATTTTAAGTTTTATGCAGTTATATCGTTTTTATCTAAATAGATTTCGTATTTTATCAGCAAGGATACCAGGGTAAGGTTTCTTTATGGAAATGATAAATCATGTGAACATTTCATTTGAATTATAAGTTGGTTGGTTATTTTGTGACATTGACGTAGTGTCCTCGAACTTTATGTATTCTAGAAGGTCGTGAATGCAGATCGATGGCGACGTCAGGTGCAAGCGAACCCGTGAGTATTATGCAGCTGCATGCAGAATACTAAATGCATATGTCTGTGTTCAATGGAACACCTAAATTATAAACAAAGGAACGTATAATTCCATTCGCATTTGTTTTAACCCTTTTCTAATAATATTACTAGTATTTGCCGCAAAAATATAGTGTAAGGTTTGAGAAATCTTTTAGTTTAGTAAGTCGAATTATTTAGATAATTTTACTTATTCATTATTAATTTATAGATATTATTGTCAATTTTACAATGCTTATTGGCCTTTCAGAAACCAGGTCTAATTGTTAGAACGATCTGACTTAATATTACCGTCTTCTGCTATGGTAATGCTCACAAATTCAATAAGAACAGTAAAACATAAGAAAAAGGTTGTAAATTTCAACATTCAATACAATGTCGCAAAGTGAAAATACAAAATTTCACCACGAATTTATAATTTAAGCAAAAACGTTGCGAAAGCGATTTCTTCGCATTTGTCTAAGCTCCAACCCTGAGGGTCAACCCTTCTTTAAATAACAAATGTATTTTATTGTTGTTTATTCAAGATTAACATTCAATCTAAAATCACGTCCCATTGGTTTACAATTTTTTTTATTGTACTATACATTTTCTTTTAAAATATCAAAACTTTCTTTACTAATCTTACTGCAATGTCGAAGGCCTGTCTTACCACTGGCTGATAGAGGCTAAAGACAGCTGAAAAATGACGTCACTGTCAGATAAGGGAACAAAATCCGATATTTTCAGCACATATTTAACACGTTGGATTGTTATCAGACATTTTTTTTATAATATAAAGTGAATCCACCAAAATGGAAAGCGACCGCTGCCCATAAACATCCGCAATTGCAGATGCGTTGCCTACCCTTCATTGATGAAGGAGGAGACGCACATAAAGAGGATATTTTCCCTTCCTATGCGTCTCCACCACCGTCAAATCCACTTTTCCTTCCCATCTTTTCTTCTTAAGAAAAGGGTGGAAAGGGAAAGGAACTAAAATTGGGCCTCCGGTACCACACACATCAGACGAAACGCGGAATTGCTTCCAGTTCACCCTTGTTTTCTGTGTGGTCGTGGTATTGCACCGGGCGAGCCGGCCCATTCGTGTGAAGATGTTAAAGCGGGCTCTACCACTGTAATTTACTGTTGGGACAGGCCCTAAAGATTATTTTCATTGCAGAATATGAAGTCCAGTTTTATAACATTTTCAAATATTTTTCTTTAGATATATTTTCTTTCAAAATGTTTCACATTTCTATCTTTACTGTGTCTATTAAAAAGAATTTCTTTTGAATACCGACAGAGTTCTTTCACAAACCAGGCAAGGGCAAGTTTTTATATCTCTTTGTAGATATATTTTACTAAACACATGTACTCTTATATAAAATCAGACTTGAGTTCTCTATTATGTAAGAGCTTACACAGACCTTTGACTAAACTATCGCACAACTGTTTAGTCGCTTTGATTCCTATGAGCTTATATGGAGGTACACAACTCGATTTTTAGTTGTGCAACTAAACAGTTGAATTATCTGCGAAAAAATCTACAATCGCACAACTGTTATGCGATAGTTTAGTGAAAGCGCCCGCTCTAAGTGATACAAAAACCGTTAAAATCGAACGTTAACTTTAATAAATTCAACAACCTTAACATCAAGCAATAAATATTTCAATATCTCATATTTAAAGTCAAACGCAAACAAAATTTCTAATATTCCGCAAAGCCTCGTACCCTTAATTAAACTCGAAGCAAAATTAACTAAACGATGATGATTTATGCTCAATAACAACTTTGTAACGACTATCCTAATTTATTACCATACTAATTTGAATTTATATATATTTTTTATAATATAAGGTGGCAAACGAGAAAGCGGCCACCTGAATCCACCGACATGGAAAGCGACCGCTGCCCATAAACATTCGCAATTGCAGATGCGTTGCCTACCCTTATACGACGGAGGAGGAGACGCACAAAATGAAGATATTTCCAATTTCTATGCGTCTCCTTCACCGTCAAATCTACTTTTTGGGAAAGTATACTAAAATTAGGCATCCGGCAACACAATCATCAGACGAAGCGCGGAATTGCTTCAACTTCACGCCTGTCTCCTGTGGTCGTGCACACCGGGCGAGACGGCCCATTCGTGCGAAGATGGTAAAGCGGGCTCTACCACTGTTTAAAATTATTATTCACTGTAATTTACTTATCAACTATGCAATCATTTTATTGAATAATATTTATTTTATAAAAACCAAACAATAACCAGTAAATAGTAGAGCACAAATCCTCTTCGAAATACATCATTTTCAACTGAAAATTGATTTCAAATAACAGAGAGGCAAGCTGCAGACAAATTGTAACTTTCGCATTTAATATAAAAGATTTGCATAAGGCGAAACTAAAGCCGATAACACGAAGACAATATAACTTTAAGTCAATTTTAACTCTCAATATAGACTGAGAAATTGTGGCACTGAGAATTATATATTGGATTGTTCTTGAACTTTCAAATATAGCTAAGTAGCTATTTCGTGACTTCTTCCGTGTGTAATTGAAAAGTAATAAAAACATATGGCATATATTACTGAGTGATAACGTAGCTACTAATTGGTGAAAAAAATTTTGAAATCGGCCCAGTAGTTTTGGAGTTATTTCAATACATAAAAAAATACAAATCTCTCCTCTTGGCCATGACTTTTGATTCAAGCAAACGAGAGCTGATATTATAATAGAGCGTCGGTGGCTCAGTGGTTTAAGCACTTTACTTGTAATCTACAGGTCTTGGGTTCGAATCCCGCCGTACCAATGTGATTTTCGATTTTTCGAATTTTCATATGTACATAATTTACCCGACGTTCTTATGGTGAAGGAAAACATCGTGATGCCTGCACATATCGGCGAAGAAATTCAAAGATATGTGTGAAGTCAACCAACCCGCAGTGGGCCAGCGTGGCTGACTATGGCCTAGTCACCCCGTATTGGGGTAGGCTCCGAGCCCCTCGGTAGGGACGTTTAGTGAGCTGGTGATGATGATGATGAAACGAAAGCTGGATATTGTTATATTTTTAATTCAAAGATTACCGATAGCACTTCCTGTTTGTGAATATTTTATATTCTAGTTTGTTTTGTACTTTAAATATCAAAAACAATTTGTGTAATGTATATTCCTGATGGCTGTAACTCAACGCAACGGCGCTATTATGTCGAATGGCGTAATAAATAAAGATATCGACGCTCGCTACCAACCGCCTCGTAATTTTTCATTTAACCATAAACTCATCGAAGTAAGGCTGGTTTATTGGGTATTAATGTCG